TAATTTAGTCCTATCCTTATCTCTTATCTTGTAATCTCAATCTCCTTTATCTTTCTAGAATTACATCAGAAAATTAAATCTGATAGGACTTTTTGCAGTTTCTTATTCTTGCATTCGTATTAGGCTTTCTCAACGAATTGGGCCGCTGCAAGGTTTCTCTGCGAGTTGGGCTTCTGCTGCGAACTGGGCTTCTCTACGAATTTGCTTAGACTTTGGACCCGATTTTGACTTTGATGCAGCCCGAATCTATCAAAACTCAAAACATAAAAGTTGTAGAGTTCTTCCTTATCTTCTAAATTCATCTTGAATCATCTCAATCGGAGTCCGGATGGGAGAGTTATGCCCAGATTACTAAGCAGCGCCGAAACTGTGCAAAATTACTCGATTAACCTTGTTTTTCTCCTGACGCCTTTTTTTGTGTCTTAAATCAAAATACAAGAATAATGAGTCCAATTAAGTACTAACTAAATATAAAAGACTGAATATTTTGGGATAAAAATATGATAATTGTTATTCTCATCAATGGTTAAATGGCTAGGACTTCCCTAGATTTTATACTAAGCTTAAGTGTGAAAACTCCAAGCATAGAGGGCTAAGGAGTTGATTTTCAATGTTTGGAGTCATCTATTTGATGTCTCTAAGGTTGGTCATATCGTATGGTTGATTACTCACAAGGCAGTAGTAAACTAATACTTATGACAATTGAGACTAGTATCACTAAATAGTTACTACCAATGGATTAGTAGTTAACTACCTGTGACACCTAGCTTAGTGTCACAATGCCCTTATTTAGTAGTCGGCTAATGAAAAAGGGATATGTGACTATTTTTAACAATTAAGAATTGAAGTGCATTAAGTAGTCAATTACCAAGAGGTAGTAATCAATTACCAGAGAAAAGATTCTCTCTTGCGAATAGTAATCAACTACTTGGGACTATTAGTTTATTACCTATTCCTAACAAGGTTAGAATAGTCAACTATCAATTCAAGCCAATTGACTATTTCATGAAAAAAGATGTTTTCTTGACCGTTTAAAGGCTTAACGATGTTTTTCTCTTTTGGTAATCCTTTAACCTTGTTGGGAACAAGCTCTAAACATTTCTAAAAATGGTTAATCTTTTCTTAGCCGATCTATAATGATATATGTTCTCTAAGCATGATTCATGCTATAAATACATGAGTTTGAGATGAAAATCTTAAGAAAGTGCATTGGCCTATATTATGAGAATTGAAAAAAGAGCATTAGTAAGAGAGCACCTTGTGTGAAGAGATTGTGAGCTTAAAAGTGTTTTTATCGATGAAGAAAATGTTTGAAAAAACTATTTGTGCTTCATTAATTCTTTATAAAAGTTTTTGATCTCTTTAAATGCATTAATCTCATATTTGTTTATGTTCATTCTTTCGTTTGAATAGTTTGTGTTGTATTTGTATATCATCCTACTTAGAGGCATTTATATTTTAGCTTTAATTGTTTATATCTTGTTGTATTTAATCGGTTAACAATTTCTAGCTAATAGTTGTTAAGTGTTTAGAAATTGAATACTGGAAGGGTTAGGATAGCACCAGGAAGTCTATTTGGTTGAAGTTTAATTGTTGTAAATTAGAACCTAGGAAGTGTAACTTGTTATAAGGGTTTTGTTGGTACCATGATGTCCAACTAGTTTAGTGGAAATTCTCAAGTGGCATGCTTGAGGAGATTACATAGGCTTGGGTTGGCCTATTTGCTCTTTATTTTTCTTGTAGCCATTCTTCATTTTTGTTGATACTTATTATTCACACTACTATATTTTTTTTACACAAGCAATGTTGGAAGGGTTATAAATCAGATTTAACATGGCCAAACTAGGTATAGTAGATGGCTGAATTTTTTAAAATTTTTCTAACCCAATTCAGGAACAAATTTCTCGGTGATTTTGAAATCTAAAGTCTTGGGATAAATCTTGCATTCAAACGAACCAGATTTGAAACCCAAATTAAAACTGATCATACCTAATATGGAGACCACAGTGTGAAGCTCCTAGAGTGGTAGTTCACACCCAATATCATTCCCATGGCGTAGTGTGTATGTTAAGTTGATTCAACAACACTGTTTTAGCAAAAAWTGGTCTTCAACTTGCTTGGATTGAAGTGGGTATGTGAACCTGATATCCTCTAATGTTTTTCTTGCAAAAACAAAGTAGAAGACTGATGGAAATCAGCCCCTATCAAATCTTGGTCGAATTAGGGTTTCTGGGAGGCAAGGGAGAGAAGAGAACAAGAGAGTGAAAAGAATTGGTTTAATTGGACTCTCCCTTCTTTCTCCTTTATATAGAGCACTCTCCTAATCTAATTAGGAGATGATTCAAATCAAGTTTGGATAAGGAGTTTATCTTTAATTGATAAGAATTGTCTTCTTAAGAGGATAGGTGCTCCATACCCAAATCCATGCACATTTTCAACCCAAGTCACATGACAAAGTTGTCATGTGATCACTTAGCTAATCATATTAGTAATGTTAGGCCCATTTTCTCTAATGGTTTACATCCCAAGGCATTCACTAATAATGGTTTATGTACATCAATCTGATTGGAGCTATGGGCATACATTGTCTAACAAGCACTTCACATTWTTGCTCTTAGTTATTTGTGTATAACTCTTCAGTTTTAGAAGATTTTATTTGGGGGAAATTAGTAAAACCTAATTCATCCCTTTCATGGGTTAGACCACCTAACAAGTGGTATCAAAGTAGGCTAGCCAGACTTAGAAGCTTAATAGATAGGTGAAATAGAATGTCCATCCAAACAAACACTTTATACAATGGGGAGCAATCCATTTACAAATCCTCACTCTTCAATAGCTCAAATTACAATTATTGTAAAGCAAGAATAAGAGTTTATCTCATCTTTCTTATCTATGAGTTTTGGAAAATAGTTGAGAAAGGACCTTATAATCAAACAAAGAAGGATGGAAAAAG